CACACACACACACACACACACACACACAGAGTTCCCCCCAAGTTCTGTGTAATTAAGGATTCCAAGCATTAAAGAGAAGACAATATCTTTAGTGATTGTTGGCTTGGACACTAGGCAGACACTACCCTCTTTGCACTTTCTTCAGTAGATCACTTACTAAAGCAGAAAAATGTGAAATGAATTGCTGGTATAAAAGCCACTGAATATCAGGAATTTGTTACTGAACATCCTTGATTGTCCTGGGGAAGATTCTGACTCCAAAACAGTTGATGCTTGTCTGATAGTAAGCATACAGTTTGGAGGTTAAGATCAAGACCCAGAAATTCCATCTCCAGAACTCTCAGTTCTTGGGATTCATTCTCCAAGCTTGATTTCCTAAGTAAGCTGATATTTTAGCCGTTGATCAGAATCACATCATTCAGCATAACATTCAAATACATGCGTTCATAGAGAATTCATAATCAAGGACATTGTTCATGGGAAAGAGAAAAAAGGAAGAAAAAGATAGTATTTCATAAGACTTGGTAAAAATACACAAGTTGTACAGTTAAAATTTTCAAATAATTCTTCCCAGAAAGTCTTTGTTATTTCACTGTATTCATTTCCTAAACAGTCTATATTACTTAATCTTTTTTGCATGTTTGGATTTCCAACTGCTGTTTTTTTTTTAAATAAACCCATTTTTCCTAGAACATTACAAACTTTAAATACATTCACCCCCCAATAAAAACTTGTTGCTGTGACTAATTACATATACATAAAGATGAAAAATTAGAGTTGAATTTATTTATTTTTGTGTAGCCCATTTAGCTTAAACAAAAGGCATTACAAGACAAGGAAGCTATTTGTCATAAAGAATCCACTAGTCAGAAATGGACTTTTGAAAGGAAAGATTATTTCAGTGAACAGAGTTTGAAAGCAGGAGATTGTAGCAGCTATCTAGTAAAAGCCAAGTTTATTACATCTGTGTGTGGATGGGCTGACATTGGGAGAAATAGTGGCAGCTAGCTGGGAGAGATTTCATCTGTGAATGGATGGGCTAACACCAGGACAGAGAAAGAGAGCTGCTAACTAGGAAAGAAATTAGACTTATATAAGTGTTGAAGGGGTAAAGAATCTGGACTAAAATACTTATGGCTTGGATGCCCAAGGATGATCTACTCTGGTGTGTAGATAATTACTGGGCTTCTCGGAGTCAGGGGGCTGTATACTACCTTGGAGTCCCTTTGCCCGATTTACAGAGGAGCTGCTGTTGTTTGCTAAAAGCAGCCTGTTTGTTTTGTACCATTAGTTTAGGCCAGGTCTGACAGTATTGACTGTTTTTTCTTTTTTGTCAGCACTGGGGATCAAACTTAGGTCCTTGCTTTTGTGAGGCAGGTGGTAGAACCACTAAGCTAAATCCTGGCCCTTGACAATTTTAAAAATTTACATTCAGGATAGAAGTAAGTATTGAGAATACCTATTGCTTCTTTTAAATTTTTTAAATTAATTTTAACTGATACATAAAAACTGATACATAAAAACATAAAAATTGTACATTAAGATAACATGTAATGCTTGAAACCTGTATACACTATGTAATATTTAAACCACAGTAACAGATCTATTTAATCAACATTTATCTTTTATTTACCATGTCTATTTTATTTAAAAGAGCCAGTTCTCCCACCAGCAATGGAGAAGGGTTCCTTTCTCCCCACAACTCCACCAACATTTGTTATTGGTTGATTTCTAGATAGCAGCCATTCTTTGTGGGGCGAGGTGGAATCTCAGTGTTGTTTTCATCTGCATCTCTCAAATGACCAGTGATGTGGAACACTTTTTCATATATTTACTTGCTGCTTTTACTTATTTGTCTGAGAAATGTCTGTTCATTTCAGATGCCCATTTTTGAATTGGGTCTTTATATTTGG